AGGGAAATCGAGCCCAGCTCAGATATGTCCTCCGAGACAGTTCTCCCGATGCACCAACAGAACAGATCTCGATCTCCCACCTCGAGAATTCCCTCCCGCCTTTTGACCCGACTATGACGACTGTAGCACTTTACGGAAGCTCATCGGTTGCATCCACGATATCTAAGGGTTTGGCAAGTTTGAGCGTTTCGGAAATGGATTCAGTGGCAGATCCAGGAGGTTCGCGACAAGGGGGAGGGGGGCCTCGGATGATGCTCTCCGAGGGAGACACTAACTGAGTCCTCCTCCAATTGGGGGAAGGAGGAATTCGGTGGCTGTGAGGGGCAATTATCGTCCGAAGGCCCCTCTCCACGGTTCCGCATTTGGATAAATTACGGCTGCCTGCAGCTCGGGCCAACTATACCCGAAAGCGTCGCTCTGAACATTCTTACCTAAGAATGATCCCACAGGATACCCGCAGCGATGCGGAGGCTCGAGTGCGCTGTCGCGGGTGCTGGACCTCAGGTTCTCCTAGGCCGGGAGCGGCTCGGTCGATCCGTTTTCGCAAAGTGATATCCGTCTTTGCGAAAAGTGTGCCGTCCTACGCTTCTCCGAACTCTTGATGATTGGCTGATGTATAATCGAAATTTCCAGATTGGTGGAGGGCCGAGGGATTCGGATGCGATTGAAGGGCCGAAACGGGGACGAAGTACCCAAAGAAGCAGTGAGACAACTTCTTGAACTGAAATGGAACCATTTTGAGATGAGATTGATTGGTCGGGGTAGGGAATTCCTAGGGTAAGATGTAGGCCATAAGCTAGCTGAACGAGTTAGGTTGAGATGAAGAAAACTGAGCGAGATTCAGTCCTACGTCTTACGAGTTCCTCCAGAACGAGCCGAGTTTGACGAGGATGGCGAAGCCCACGCCTGAGGAATCTCGTCGGTGACGACTGTCCTCTTAACAGCAGTGAAAAGGAATGAGGCTCCGATGGGGTGAAGCCTCGAGTTCCCTCGCGCGTACCCACAACATCGGCCACATGTACGTCAAGCGAATTTCACGAGACTTCGGTAGTTGCATCCGCGAGGCTCCTCATTGAAGGATCGGGAACGGTTTCTGCGAACCCTTCACATTCTTCCCATCAAGGCTGTCGGTACCCATATCTGGGCTCGCACGTGGGTGGTTCGCAGTTTCAATCATCGATCCCAGATTACACTGTGCGATCGATTGATATTCTGAATGGATTTCACGATGATCACTATCATCAGCGTTAGGAGTCTTTCCACGAAATGTCCTCGCTGATTGGTCTTCAGAATCGTTGATAAACGGAGTTCGGAAACACAGGACCCGCATCGCTTGCATCGTGTGAACGAGAACGGTTTTTCTCCGCGAGCTCGAATTGCCGCGCTGATTGACGAGTACCGACGATGAGTTCCCCCGGAGGGCCCCCGGAGGAGCCCCCGAAGAGGTGAGCCGCTCGCCATCCAATGATCTCACGATCTCTCAAAAAAGTTCCTCTCTCAATGCTGCGAGTTATGTTCCAATCTCATCGTAGTCATCCTACTAAACCGCTCACGAAATTCCGCAGGAAGGGACTTGTCGAGCTTCCCGATGACGTGCTCTTGCTCCTCGCGTCCCATTTGGACGCCGACTCATACGCCAGGTTGCCTGAGAGCAATAAGCGGTTCCGTAGCCTCGCAAGATATATAGCTCAAAAGATGATTGTGAGAAATGTTACGATGTCCGTCCTGGACTTTCTCTTCGTGAACGGATCTTACGTGCGGGAGCTGGACCTTTCGAGAAGCAATTCGAAGCATGCCTTCATCATGGCTGTTCTCCGGAAATCTCCGAATGTTCAGAAGCTGAATTTGGCAAGGTGTGAATTCCCCGAAACGATGCGAGATTGGGACGTATTCGGCGATATGGAGAAACTGGATACTCTGCTAATAAGCCCTTGGCATTCATCTTACGACAATTTCGTCGAGACTTTCTCCTATGCTCTGATCCAAACTCTCTACATCGAGGTCGAAGATAACAAGAGGTCATGGAATTTCGTTGTGGCCCTGCTTAACGCGTGCGATTCCCTGAAGTGGGTCCATATAAACCTATACAAATACCCGCGGCAGAATACAACGGCCCCCAAGAATAAGCATCTTACCCCCAAGCGCTGGAGCACGCTGCAGACTGTCATCATAAGTCGTCAATGTGCTTATCGCGGATGCAATCCCAAGGTGCCAGGACTCCTGCGAATGATCTTCGCTCACAACAGCACTCCCGGGATTATCGAGTGGGCCGACACCGACAGGAACTGTTATATTTATGACAAGGGTCACTTCAATAAGGGGACCCCGGACGATTCATTCAGCGAAGACGCTCCGACTCTTTTGAAGCAATACCATCACGTCGAAGTGAGTCTGCATAACGAACACGCCGCTCTGCTGGAATGGCCATGGGGTTTGCCCAAATCGCTCCGAATTTCCAGGATCGACGGTTGGCTTTCCGACCTCCCACTACCCTCATCGCTGAGAGAATTGGATTTGACGAGGTGTCATGGTACTTTTTCGAACAGAATGCGCGCCAAATTGATAGCTTCGGCCCCACTGCTCGAAGTTCTCGAATGCTCCCTCTGTTTCTTTCGCAAGGCCGCACCGAGGAAGCCGAATGAGCCAGTCACCGCGGCATTACTGCGAGAAGAAGATTTCAGAGGATCAATGTTGAAACTCAGACTGAAGAAGTTGCACATCAGAGCTTTTTGCCATTTAGCTTTCTGCTCGGAATCGAGGTGCGGTAACCACTGCTCCCAGTTGAGGAACTGCCATACCTGTGCCTCTCTGACACCGTTGAGAGCAGAATCCTTCGCACTAGACATAAACGAACTGAAAACCATCGAGGTACTGACGATCGCGAATATTGTTGTGGATGAGTCCGGCTACGATAAATTATTTCACTCGAGAGCTCGTAGCGTGCGATTTCTATCGAAGGGATACCTTAATTATATCGGTTTTAGAAACTTCATCCGACGCTGTGAGAATCTCCAAAATCTGCACATCGAAGGAGTACAATCGGACCTGCAGTCGGGAGAGCTGTGGGAGATCCTCACTGAGAAGGACAAGCTCCGACAGCTGTGTCTTAGAGCACCATTGAATCGAGATCGCTCCGTCGCTGTGACTCCAGCCTTGCTGCGAGTAATTTTGGCCATGCTCCGACGACTCGAGTGCTTCCATTACCATTGTTCAGATTTCAAGCTCAAGCACGCCTTGTTGTCGTTCTTGGAAGGGATGAGGGAGTACGAGATTTTGAAGAGGAAAACACACTGGGCTCCGACCCACACCCGACTGGAACCCGAGAAAGCGAAGTCGTTAGAGGTCATCCTCGGACGAGGACTGTGCATATCAGAGAGTTGTGTTGGCATGAAGCCAGCTATCGGCTGGAACTTGTGAAAAAAAGGCCAAAAGATATCCAGAACAGAGATATCCAGAACATTGACCGCTTCATAACCCAAACAGGACTGAGTAAACCCTAGAGGGTCTATTCTGACCTCGAAATCGTAATGTATTGAATCCGCCTTGCAGCCGATCGGTCCGAATTCGGGATCTCGCTCGGCATAGGAGCATGGCTTGATAACGTAATCTCTATCGAAGCGAATAAACCAAAAATACATGACAATGGAAATTCGCCAATCATTGAGATCTTCCGAGGAGTTTTTCAGTCTCAATGAGGCAACGTTTGTCCGCTGACGCGTCTGGCGTCTTTTCGGAAACGAGTCGCTCCGCATCTTCCGTGATGGCTTGATCATTATTGTGTCTGAGCTCCTAGGAAAAACATTTCCCAATCTGTTAATATGCCCCTCGTGACCGGACTACAGGTCTGTCTTTCGGTTTAAGACGGCCCGGACGGCATCGACCTGAGTTTTAAGAAGGTCTTCGGAAAACTTCGTACGCTCGACAGTTGCATTCCGCTGGAATTCCTCTGACCCGGTCATGGAACGAGGGATTTGATTCCCAGCATCGGGCTAGACGGCTTATTCCTCCGCCAGGATTTTTTGAGAATTTTGTCTACTCGATGTCTCCGCATGCGGGCAGGGGACGGAATGGCCGAGTGACTTCAGCGATCTGTACTCCTCATGCGAATAAGCCCATCCACTCAGACTTACTTCCGTGCTCGGGGTCACTGGCTCGAAGCCAGAGAGCGACGAGCCTGAGAACGACGAGACGACTCCCAGGACGGCTCCGATGATCCCGTTTGTCTTTTCCGGAAACCAGAATTCATTCCGTAGATGAAGGACGAGCCCCATTCAGTTCTGGCCACGCACAGCAAGGCTCTGTGGGGCGGCTCAGAGTCAGTAGAGGCCGTACATTCTATTCCCGATCGAGATGCCCATGTTGTTTATATTATGCGAGCTTTCGGGGCACCGAGTCATGAGCACGGTTCATTAGATCGACGGTGAGTCGATGCTCCCTGACAGGCTATAGTCAGGGGATTGCAGGATCTCTGCACTCGAATCCCCCTTCCACGACTCGTGGGCCTCGCGTCGAATGAATCCTCTTCGCATTGAGAGAATGATATCTAATTAACCTAGACCCAGACGAAGGGATCAGGCCCCTCCTTCTTTCCCCAACCCAGAGGCTGTTCCACGCAATCCTCCGAAGGAAAACGCGCGACTTTCCTCTTCCAGTGTCGTCTGCTCTGTTTGGTTCTCGCGCCCACGGCAAAATCCTACAGATGTCTACAGCGATCAGGTGATAGGGTCCTCTCGCGCGGTTGGTCCTCCCTGTCGCCGACTCCCAAGATAAGAAGATTTACGACGTGCAGAGGCGAATGGTCAGTCTGACGGGGAGCGATTGGAGCGAATCGATTCGGTGGTCCTCCCAGTGTTTCGTCGAGCAGGATAGGATAGGCTAAGGGATGAGTTCTGAAGACGTACGTCACCACCTTTAACAGCTGATGACAAATCTAGACGTCAGAGAGCTCCTAGCGTTAATCCCCTCACTTTTGTTTCCGTAGAGAGTGAATTGATACCTAGGGTCAATCGACCACGTTCTCGAGAACGAACAGCCACGAGTTTTCCACCAAATCTTAGTCTATCGGGGACGATCCTGATTCCAGGAGTCGCTTTTCACCGGCGCCAGGATGGGCCTGAAATTCGCAGCGAACATCTCTCTGATGTTCAAAGAGCTGGCGAACATGACCGATCGATACGGTGAAGCCGCGTGGCGAGGTTTCGCAGCAGTTGAGTGTCAATTCCCGTATGACGTGCCTATTGAGGACATGGTGAGAGCGAAACACGACGCGGGGCTGGAACACGTTCTGATCAACTCATTCCAAGGTATTTCTTAATGGTATGATATAGACGCTGGTATTTCCGCCTCTCTCGATGGAATGAGGACACCGAGATTCGTCAGGACGAAATCAATTTCTTGGGAACTGCTAGGGGAGAACTATGGAGACCTGGGCCTGGCTTGCCAGCCTTCCAAGCACGCTGAGTTCAGAAAATCTCTGGAGATTAGCATCAGATATGCAAAAGCCTTGAATTGCAAGAAGGTACGTGACGCTTGCGGCTCGCCATCATCAACCGTTCAACGAATATTGTCGGGGTTTATCTGGGACGTCACCCTACCACCGAATTATCGGAACCTTTCACGGTGCTCCCTTTTCTAGGTCCACATAATGGCTGGTTGTCCTCAAGCTGGATACACGTCTGCGGAAACCGAAGCGGCTTACATTAAAAATCTATGCTATGCCGCCTCACAATTCGAGAAAGAAGGACTGATGGGATTAATCGAACCGCTTTGCAAACAGGTCGGCCCTGAATAAGTTCCCTAGAGTTACCTTCAGTGAGTCTAATCTGCGTCTTCAGGACCCAAAGCTTATTTGCATAGGTACCCGTAAACCTCATCATCTTTCTTCGCAGACCCGGGAAGATTATTTCCTACAAAGTTATGACAAAGCGGTCGAGTATGTGAGACGCATCAACTCTCGCAATATTCGCATCATGTTGGACGTTTTCCATCTCCAAATGCTCCACGGGAATCTCTCAGCTAACATTTCTTCTCTGGCCCGTTACGTCGGTGAGATATATGAGATTTTGGAGCTCGCTCTCAATCGGGTCTGATGCGACCTCAAAAGCAAGCATGACGAGAATCTCAACGACTCGTCGCGCTTGAAAAAGCGTGGGGAATGAATTATTTTGACGGTCGTTTCCATTCGAAGGTCATGTGCAGATCTCCCAAGCTCCGAAGAGAAGCGAACCTGGTTCTCCCGGCGAAATTGACTATCTGTATGTGTTGGACATTCTCGATGAGCTTGGGTACCGGGACTACATCGGGCTTGAATATGTGCCGAGTGGACGAACAGAAGACTCGCTGAAATTCTTGAAGGACTGGGGATACATGCCCGACGTCAAGATAGACTGATGGACCTCTACGCCAGAGACCGGCATCGGCGATATTCTAGGTCGGGGGACGCTCGCTTCAAATACTGAATGCATTCTGCACATCTGCATTTCGCGAGTGAGGTTGATAAACAGAATAAAGTCTGGAGGCTCCCAATCTCTCCCCTCATATCGGAACGAGTATCATCCAGATACAGCTGATTGATTGCGCATCGGGTGGGAATACGGCAAGCATCCGCCAAGATTTTAGGGACCATGACCGAGGATGTGTCGATGACCTCATGACTGTTACAGCGAACTTCCCCGCAGCGAAACAAGGTAACTTGTTCGTCGGCGATTTCCGAGCCGGTCGCGTTGCGATCCCGCAGCTCTTCGCGGCTACGGCGAGAAACAGCAATACGCGGGTGGGATGCCTCGGCAAGGGCCGATCTGGGACTCTTCATAAGACCCGCTTCCAGATTTTCCAAGGAAGCGCTCAACAATGCACGACCGGGGGAGCGGTGAATGTCAAGAATCAAGGAACCCCTACATCCACTCGTTTCCTAGCAGAGATCATCATCATCAGCGTCAGGAAAACATTTGTCTGCTGCCGCGTCTGGAGCGCAGGCATTTTTGATTTTATTCATGAGTTACCCCCTACCCCTCTATGCGGAATCTGTGGCTCCTCTGGAACGCGGTCGAGCTATAGCGTTTCTGCCTCCTCCAGGGAGGCGTTTCTGGAAAGTCTCATGTGTGGGTGAGAAGAGAGCACAAAATGAAGATGGCGTCATCGCATCTATAATCCATAGAAGCTTCACTGAAAATTTCGGGGAAAACTTCATTAACCCCATTCGACCCCGAATCCGGAGTCTCCCCGACAAGACAGAGGTCCCTTCATGAAAACGACGCTCTGAGCATTCGATTGCGCCCACAGAGTCTTCAGGGAATTTCTGGAGAGAAAAGGAAAAGGGAGCGTCGTTCCAAGCTGAGCTTCTAGCAGACTCTGTCGTAGCTTTTGTTGTAATGGTGTTGTATTTACACCAGTTTGAGGAGCAATCCGTACTGTTGAATTGAATCTGTGGTGATCGGACTTTGCGAGCCGGATTTGAACGTCGAGACCCCCTTCGGGACTTTCCAGTGGAGTCGGACAGATCGTTTGAAGGTGAGCTTTCTCGAGAGGGCACTCCGTGCGTGAGCTGCGCTCTTGGCATCTTCGAGCGGAGTCTAATTCCGTCGTAGGCGACATCTCAACGAAAAGCCGGTGAAAATCACGATAATACGCTCGCTAATTCTTGGAGAATATCATCGAGGAGCTCTCGGACCGAAAGACTATTGCGCATTTCTCCGAACGGACTAATTTCACCGATAGCTCGACTGCGTCACATACCGGTCAATACCACCGGAGCGCTCCCGGGAGCTTGAGAGCGGCGTCGAAAATCTGGCTTCAGAGAAACATTGCATGCCGGGATCTCAGGGGCGAATTTCGTGCAGGAAACTTCCGACCGGGCTGTGAGCGTCGCGTCGCCCTCCACCCGGCGTCTATAATCTCAAGCTTCGATTATTTCACAGGCTAAAAAATGGCGGCCCCAACACCTTACCTCGGCTCTAAGATCTGTCTCATCTCGAAGGCCGAAATTCGATATGAGGGCATCTTGTATACGATCGACTCCAAGGAAAGCACCGTCGCGCTTGCGAAAGGTTCGTCAAATATCGTTGTCATTCGATGCTTTTTCGTTGAAGAGCGACTTTCGTATGCGACGTGCGAAAGTCCAGAAGCGACACCCCAACATTTGCCACACTCCGCACGCTCGCTGGAGAAAAAGTGGGGAATTTCGAATATCCACCGTCGTGTCTCGATTACCGGAGATTGCTGACTGAGAGCGTTGCTCGAGAATAATCGTGCAGTGTGTCTAACGGACCGATCTCGTTGCAGTGCGATCGTTCGGAACTGAGGACCGGAAAACCGATACCCCGTTCCCGCCTCGGGATGAAATTTTCGAGTACATAATTTTCAAAGCTGCGGACATCAAGGATCTTCGTGTTTGTCAACCCCCGATCCCAACGCTGGCTCAGGACCCGGCCATCGTGAGCCACTCGATAGGCCCACCGCCCCCTCCGGCGGGGGGTGCTCCCTCGTTCGGGGATTTCTCAGGAACACCATACGGACAGCAACCGCCTATGTTCATGCCACCTCATCAATCTCAATCTCCGTTCGGGAGCGCTCTTGGTCTTTCTCCAGGTTCGCTGATGGCCACTCCGGGAGCTCCGATTCCCTCGGCCGACCCGAATCTGGGGGGTTTCCCTCCCAAGGCCGCGCCTTGCGCTCCTATCGTCGAAGCGTCGAGGACAAGTACCCCCGAAGCGCCCAAACACCAGGAGCATCGACGTGAGGGTGAAGGAGAAGAGGATCACCGTCGTCCCGGGCACTCGAACAGTAACTCCTATAGAGGAAACGCTGAGGGCTACAACAAACATCCTCCCAGGGAGGGAGGTCAGAGAGGCGAGAACTACGGTAGGGACAACTATCAGCAGCGGCGAGGCGGTCCTCATGGATCTTCACAAGAGTTTGGACACGGTGGCGGCGGAGGAGGCGGCGGTTACGGTCAGATGCGCGGTCGTGGTGGAGGCATGGGTCGCGGAAGAGGAGGAATGGGAGGACTTCGACCCAGAGGGCAGCTGCAGGCCAACAAAGAGCCGCTCAAGTTCGACGAGGAGTTTGATTTTGAGCAGGCGAACCTTGAGTTCCAAGAACTCGAATCAAAAATGGCGAAAACGAAAATCAGCGACGGTGCCGGTACTTGCGACGATGAATCCTATACTTGGAGCGAGGAGGAAAATCAGGAAGAGGCGAAATCCGAAGGCAAGCCCGCTCCGACGGACGGCACCGAACCGGCGGAATATTACAACAAGAGCAAGAGCTTCTTCGATCAGATCAGTTGCGAGGCACTCGAGAGACAGAACGGTGCCAATACCGGCCGCGTCGATTGGCGCCATGAGAGAAGCATCAACAAGGAGACGTTCGGAGTGTCGGCTCCTCCAAGCTGGGGTTACCGACGTGGTGGATGGAATGGTGGCTACAACAACTACAGAGGACGCGGAGGCTACGGTTACAACAGATCCCGTGGATACGGCGGAAATCGCAACTACGACAACCGTGGACACGGAGGCGGCAACCAGGGTGGATACGGCGGATACGGAAGCAACCGCGCCTACGACAGCAGGAATAGGAACAATGTAGGTTGCATGAGCTTCATTCCCTACAGCATTCGTACAGCTTCGATATGTCGACCGATATCCGCGAAGTCGAGGATTACCCCCTTGACCTTCCCGTTCCGACATTCATCTCTTTATCTATAATAATTCTTGGATTTGCTTATCTCAGGGCCCTCCCCGGGGTGGTCATCGTGGGAGACCAGCACCCCCTCAACAGGCGTAATCTTGAGCCGTGTGACACCGACCGACGACACAATCTACAGGAAAGAAGAGAGAATGGAATGAATTTCGTTTGCTTAAAACATCATCAAGTCTTCACAGGAGCAAGTAACAATAGGTTATGGGTAATCGCCGGAGCACATATCCGCGGTGTGTTCAGATAAGCGAAGCACGCCCTCCACGAGCTGAAGCTGCACAGAGAGCTGCCGGACCAACGATTTGTGAAGAAGAAGAAAGAGAGGAATAAGACTCTGCTTCCCTCAGTGTATTTATCATAGCTGATGACTCAAGATCGAAGGAGCAGCTCAAGTTAACAAGAACTTGTGATTTGAACCGAGCCGATGTACATAATCGACGAGAGGAGGAGGGAAACGAGAGAAGAGAGACTTGGAGGATCCCTTGTGTCGAGACGGGACACCGGTCGGAACACACGGCGGCCCTCGACACCCGGAGCTCGCCCCAATCGTTCGCAAACACGGCCCGAGGATTACCGCCGAGAGATTACCGTAGATTCAAAGAGAGGGATTCCGTACTTTCCTGGTGATACTTGACATCAAACACGATGCCGGAGCGTAATTTTTCGTGAGTGAGGAGACAAGCCCGTAGACAAACAAATGAACTCATACAACGTGACCGATGAGCTGACGACGTTCGTGGATGATCGCCCCGATGGGTGGAAGTACTTCGACGCGGAGTTCGAATCAATCAATACCCGCTGTCACTTTCTCAGCTCGGACCGGGAATCCGACGTGCTTCGTATTTCGATTGTAAATCTCTTATTCCTCGATTCGGATTAATTGACTGACTGAGTGTCAGACGATCATGCAGCGATCGTCAGTGCACAAGGAAGACGCCGCATGTTGCCAACTAAATACACGTGGAGCCTACAATCAATGAAGAAGAAGTAGGCGCCTCAATCTCGGGAAGGAGCGAGGAGAACTCACGAGACTCTCCCGCTAGAATTCCGTTTCTCGGATCGATAGTTGTGACTCGGGATGAAAAATCCGGAAGGAATAGAGGTATGGTTGAGAACCCTCCGGATCGTAAACATCCACGGCCGACCTTCGATTGAAGTCATCGCGTCGGCTGTTCCATTGAAATGAGATTCCCCCGACATACAGTTGAGAGTCGTAGCTCCTCCAATCACTCCTGTTACGGAACGGATATTCAGATACGGATGGGGAGGCTCTTGGTCGTCAGTTGAGCTCCCTCGATACAACACAATTGAGGACGGTTATTCTGTCCCGCTCGTCGGGGATCAAGAGAGCGGGCTTCGGACCCGCCTCCAAACAAAATAGTACTAACGACGTGTTCCTATTGAACAACAACCTTTCCGGTCAGCAATTGCAAGAATCAATCGAGCTGAACGAGTTGCCTGAAAATCGCAGTAAGAGCACGAGTTCTCCTGACACGAAAATGGGAACTTATTCGAATAGCCTCATGCTTGGTGGATATTTTCACGGTCTCCGCGGAGCAGAATAAATTATGCGAGAGATTGGAAGAACGACTGGAAGATATTTCTCGAAAGTCACGCGGGAGACCAGCTAGAGGAATATTGACAGCTAGAAAATTATTTGGAAGGTGAAATTGATGGATGAGCAGCGACAACCAGAGGAACGCAGAGTACTGCCGTCAGAACAGCGATCAAGACGAAACACTGTATACAATTATTATTATAATAATTATGATAATGATGATGGTGACTATCATGGTCCTGAAGCGAATGAATAAAGGAAAAGATAGGAAAACCAACTGTGGAGATGATAAAAAATCCAATTCCTCACCTTACTCTCCTTAGCTGTTCAGGTACCAGAAATCATTGCAAGACCCGAGCATAACGACGCTTCTAGACTTGGAATGTTTTTCTCCAGGCTGGTATCCTCAGCTTAACATCGGAATTTTTCTATTCGAAATGATTGTGCGGGATGCCGAGCGATTGATGCATGCCGCGCTCCGGCGATTCCGAATCGCGCCCCTCTACCGAACCAGCGCAGCCCCCGGCCATGCTCTCAATACCGATGCCTTGTTCTCGGAGTAATTTCACGTGAATCGTGAAAGTATTCATATGTACCCTCCCCCGTGCCGAGACCACGAAAGAAATGAGCTCGTCAGAGGCAGAATGCCGAGCGCATGATGCGCGATATATAATGTACAGCACGAAAAAAATGAAATCGTCAGATCGATTCCACGAGAGTAAGATTAGCTCTTCGGGCTCCTATACTAGGCGGGTGGACGACGGATGGAAAACGCGCTCAAGAGAAGTCGCGGCGGGACCGCGCTCCCGCATCGTGAAAGGAGTTCCCGTCCACTAGGAATCTAATCGAATCAATTGCTTCGATCTCAACTCGGCATCCCTGACCGCGACTCTACTCGTGCGCGGAAACCGGTGAGCAATCGAAGATAGACAGCTTGACGGGGACCTTCGGAAAGTCAAACAGAAAACCCCTTGCAGAATTCCGTGAGCTGCTTCGATGGGGACCGTTTAGGTGATTTTTTGGAGCCTCGATAGAGACTCGAGCAAGCGAGCGTCGAATTCATTTCGTACGCTCGGCAGACGGTTCCTTGATATATTTTCTGAAACTAGGTAATTCTAGGCATAGTTCCCCAGTTTTGGCGACGTACATATAGAAGGGTGTCAAGTGGGCGCCAAGGGACTTCACCACGGTCTTCGGAATTCTTTCCTGTATGAGAAGACGGCTGTGGTTCTTTTTGTGGTACGGTCATCACTCAAGTGTTCATGGAACCCAGCTGGCGACGAACGTCGTGATAGGGACACTGTGTTCACTTTACCGGACCGAAGATGATGATCGTATAGCATTGGGTCCGTCTTGCCGATTTTCCATCTGACAACTACTCGGATGCTATTCAGCTGACGGCTAGGATAAAGGTGCGTCTTCATAGTCGGAAGTTGGAAGGCAGACATTGAATCTAGCTCGAAAATATTTTTTTAATCATACGGATTCGCGCCGTGACGATGAACGGTTTTCCGTCGGTTGGATAGGTGAATATTACGTTTTTGAGATGGCAGGCCTTTATTGGCTCAGATCAAAAGATACCCCGATTGAGTTGAGACCGATCTGGACCCTGTCCGATTCCGCCAAACCTCTAGCTCGGATGTTCATCCAGATATCAAACAGGGGGCGCGGACCCCTCATGTTTGCGTGGGTGTGATCAGGCGTTCGTGTTGGAATCGGAGTCTGATTCTGGTCACTGAGCTTCGAGCTTTCAGCCGAACAGCTGTACCGTGAATGCCATGCAGAGAATCCGACTGATAGCTCCTCTCTGTTGCTCGGGATCCAAAGACTTAGTCCTTCGAAACTTCAGGAGTTTTCCGCTCAATTCACTGATCCAATGATTTGACGAAGCCCGTGACGCGGCTGTAGCCGTCGTCTGTATGGCATAGACGGCGAGACTCGATTCTTAATCATTCTGAGAGCTGACGGATTGGTGTGAGCTCCTACATTACGCGTATTCCGAGCCATTACCCTTCTTGTTTGCACGACAGGGCTCCATCATGCAATCGGAGCGGACTCCCCTCTTGAAGCCTGAAGCCCTGCCAGGAGCTCCCCCTCCGCCCTACAGTGAAATTCAACAGGATCTCGGAGCTTTGGGCGAATCTTCGTCAACCGACGATTATGTGCGGTGCGAAGTCTGTTCATATTCCATTGAGAAGACGACGAAAAAGAACAAGAAAGTCATCACATGTCCGAGATGCAATGAGAGCACGGTGAGTAATCTCTTCTCCGATGTAGCTCCGAGAAGGTCCGACCGTTGGTCCTCGGAATCATTGGACCCGACCATCCTTGGAGTTCCGATAGGGTCGACTTCCTCGGAGGAAATACGTCCGAATTCGGCGGAATGGAACCGGGAAGTAGAGCGGTCCGGAACAGGGAACCGATTCCGGAGCTGAAACAACTATCGTCCTTCGTTCCAGGCTCTCGGACCTCCCGATGAAGGAAAATCGTACTTGCGGTGCCCCGAGTGCAATTGTCTCCTGATCGTTCGTCAGGGAGTCCTCAAAACCATCTGCCCTCGAGAAAATTGGTGCGCGACTCCGATATTCGGGTCTCTCAGAGCTCAGAGCCAAACGTCATCCAAACTTACCGCAACCGACAGGAAAATTCTCTTCTACTCCTGACGGCTGTAAACACAAGTCCATTCCTTGCAGTAAGACGACCATAAGCGTCAAAACGGGGAAAACGGTGAAGACCAACCGACCCTCAACGTCGGCGTCTTCTTTGGGAAATGTCCAGCGGGATCCGCAGTACAGAATCGTTTGCGGTCACTGTCATAATACATTCATCCAGGTGATTTTGCGCATCGGAATCTCTAATCTACCAGTCGATCGTTGATTCACTTCGGAGCAGGCGAGATCCCAAACTAACTTTCCGCGTACTCAGCTTGAGATCTCTCTTCCCTTGCAGGAGATTCTTCCCACGAACAATCGGATCGTTTGCGCCTTGTGCAATAGAGAGTCCAATATCGGGGAGCGGGGCGCTCGTGGCACTGCAGTGATGTATATCGGAATCGGATTAGCCTGCATCATTGTATGTGTCGGGCTCATGGCCACCACGATGGGTTTGCGGCACAATGCGGGCTACTGGTACATTTATCTGGGTGAGCAGGAAACTCCTCGATTTCATTATGTCGGATCGACTTGGAGCCTAAAGCTGCCTTCATTTGTCGTCGCATCGTCCTAAATTCATTTCTCATCAGTGTTGACCGCTGTCTTTCTTCGTTGCAGTTCTCCTGGCGGTTTCGATCCTCTTGATTCTGCGGGGTCTTTTATGTTTATGTATGCGACACAGCACGCTCGAAATTGCGAATCCTGTCGCTTGAGTCAGAGCAGATGATTCGACCTCTCGGTTGAGCAATATGATGGGGGAACAGCTTTGTATTTATAATAATAAACGTTTCCAGATGATCATGATACATGAGATCCCATTTAGATTCGCTAGGAGTTAAGCAGAGCTGGAGTCCGATTTCCGTTCTCAAAATCCCCATGAGCTGCCCAACCGATGAAATACTATCGAGAGCTGCTCACCTTGTCATTCGGGAATTCAAGAGAGGAAAAATATCAAGACTTGATGATTCCATTTTATTCTCGCAAGAATGCACCCTCTCGCGAGGGCGAGTACCTGTTAATTCATATAGAACGCCTCCCACAAAGCGGGATTGTGCAACATTTTTACCAGTCATGGAAAACCGACGATCGCGCGAAACCATTCGGCTCTTTATCAACGACGCAACAATTCACAGCCGAACGGGAGCGGGCATGGATCCGTCATCGAATTCAACTGATCCGATGCGATCATTTTCTTAAACTAAATATTCTTCTTTGGCGAGCAGGGGACATCGCGCACACGAGATCATCCGGAGCCGTATATGAGAGCTCTCACATGTATGTATGTCTCCACGTGATGCGAATACGCTTACGCATCATTGTTCACCCCGAAATTCGACTATTGAATCAAGAGCGGCAGTTTCGTCAGCCTGACGGCGACCTGCTTCAGACGGAATTCGTCATACAATTTTTTCTCATTATCGGGGACTGGTCGAAATTTTTGAACTTTCGGATCCTGGTGTGGTACGGATCTTCTAGGTCTGCCGGGTGCTTTCCGCTCTCGAATCGCTCTGGTTCTGTGAGTTGTTGTGCGTGAGATACTTCGGAATCCGGAATCGCTTCTAGCTATGTAGTTTTGTACTGAGTAATGCGATTCCTCCGGGAGAAGATCCTCGTCCGATATCTGGGAGGTATTATTCGATTATTCTATGAAGATTATTTGCAGCAGGAACTCCTCTCGGAAAACTGTTCTAAATTCTTCCGAGTCAAAAACTTGTGCGAGTTGAAGTTCCAAGGACAGAATCCATCCGAATTATCACCAAGATTCACCGACCTCTCTCATGTCGAGTCTCCTGAGCACAACGAGGGGAGCCACACCTCCGTTAAGTTTGCAGTCGGCGGTCACATGGTGAAGCGTTTCCTGAAAAGCGAGCGACGAAACCAATGAATAGGGGTGACGAATGCGTGAATATTGATATTATCAATGAGTCATGCCGGAAGCTGAGCGACAACTCGAGCCGAGAACCCAGAGGCTCACCCGCTGTTCCAGCAATAGCGAAGTAGATGATAAGGAGAACTTGCCATGACCCCTATGCCTCGTTACCTTGGCTTCGGGGTGAATCTGAATTGAACTCACCGGGTATTCGATTGGTTTCCTAGATCCTATGGCGCGCTTTCCCATTCGCGAAGATCCGTTCACTACCGAACTCTTGCGGGCTCCCTGCAATCATGTGATTTAAGGATCTTGGCCGAACATTTCCCTCCCTTCGCACAAGTGCGTACCTCCTCGACTCGGGGAACCCGAAACGAAGTCTAAGATCCTGCTCCGAGAACGCTGTGATAAATCATGTCACCGATCCGGGGCTCTGTTCGAGGCTTTCTGATATTCTCACCGTGTTTTTTGTGCGAAGAATCCGACTCGGACTGATATCACCATCGGAAGCTGACGGCGGGCTCCAGCTCGACAGCGTCGTCCCTCTTTCCGCGAGATTCTAGAAACCAGGCTCCCTACGTGAGACCACGAGAAATTCTCCGTTTCCTTTCGAGAATCTCGACAGGGATTCCCCAGGCAAGCGGTGAACCAACCGCGGAGTTCTATGAAAACCATCAATACCCGATTGCTTACCGCCAGACTAGCTGATTTCTCTAAGGTGACTGAAGGGATGAGTTTTCCATTCAACTTCGGATCCTGGACGGGTTTCCGCCCATGGTTCCGCTTGGAGTCTGGTCTGGAACCTGCCTGTAACGCGGATGCGCCGGTCAAACTAGGAGCACCGCTCCTCCGCACGGATCATTCGTCCATGAATTTCGAGCCCGAAATCCTTCACGAGAGGGGAACTATATGTCGCGTATTCTTCCCTGGAGCTGCGATGATTACCTGTGGAGCCCATTGATTGGAATCATCGATGTTCTCGAGCTCTACCCGGAGAATCTGCTTGCGTAAATCCGCGGGGCCCGTCGGAGCGGCTCGGAGTTCGGAACGCTTGGCCTTGTCCCCGACGAGGGTTGAATGAACTCGGTTTCTCTTCCACGGTGCCATGGCTGCGCTGGAATGTAGGAACGCAGAACCTTGGGCGATGACTTCCGAACTCATGACCTACAATCATCCTTCGGCATCTATTCAATGACTCTGGATAAGTCAATGGCTCTCAATGGCTCTATCTCCGCCGGAGATAGTCCGCTTCCGGGACGAGTTTTTCAGGAAGCCAAAGATTTTCGGCATCGCTCCGGATTCGAACTCTAATTCTCGGTCTGGCTCTTGCTTATCAGCCGATAACATCCTGGTCGTAGTCAGCTTCTTGGATAATTGGAACAAGGCGTGCTGCAGAGCCTTAAAAAAATTCATTCATTCCCTTCCAAACTTCTAGGAATTACCGTACCTCTGGAAATCGGCGTGAGATATCTTTCCGAGTCCGGGACTATTGGACGGCAGCTCCCGCAAAACTCACTTCTGCTTGCGAGAGCACGGCTGACCCACTATTGACCGATAGCTCAGCGAAATTTATAAGCTGCGACTTCCGGAATCGCTGATTCGGGTTCCTTCCACGAACAACCCCCCCTGACTCCGTTTCTGACAGATTCAGAGCTAGTTCCGCGGAATAGGGCCGTCTGGTCTCCGACGCGAAGCCTCGGAGAGAATGGCGCTGAGAGGTTTTGATACTAGTTTTGAAACTTGACGGTACCGTTCGGTTGCTCGAAGTCGCTGGAGGGATCGACTTTGACCGAATTATGGGTAACTCAGGCTCCTGGGCACAAATAGTACGGAAACTCCGGACCGGTGACGAGCGTCATCATCTGGATTCGGACGCTTCGCAGGCATATCGACTCTCCGCCGAATACGGGATACGTAAACAAAGCGCGTCAACTACGTTGTCGTCGGATGAATTCGGAGCTGTGAGCGAATCTGTCACACGATAAAAATCGGAAGAACTACTAGAGTTCTTGCTCCCACTCCTTTTCTGAGTGATATGGCTGCTTCTCCTGAATTGGAATGTTCGTTATGTGTTTAGGATCCTAGTCCGCATCCGAAGAGAAATTCATCGAAAATATGCCCCCTACAGTGAGTTCTATTCGAGTTTGCGCCGGTCCTATAGGCGAACGCAGCTTCCTCCCCGCTGCTTACGGAGCGGCGATTCTGCTCTTTGCTCGAACTCGATAAGAGGCAGTATCCGAGCTCCCAGGCCTTCATTGATCGGTGGAGAATTACCTATTCTGGACTATTCTCCTAACTCTCCATGAACATCCTTGTTTCGTGATGTTATCGTGAGCTATTCTTCCTCTTGCAGAATGCAGACTTGGAGCGTTATCGGCAACCCGAAGAGGGATTGGATCAATGGAGAGTGAAAAAGGCTTTCCTCGAGAAGAATTGGGATGAGTTTCCCATGGAACGTCGCCCGAGACTGATAGCCTTGATGCACTGTTTTCACAACATTCACGTATGGGGATGCTCATATCCTCTCGCGGTGATGCAGGAGGTGCAACGACTCTCTGGAGGTCTGATGACCACAAAACCCAAGGCCTCTAGGAAGCCCGATTTTGTGAAAATTAACTTCGTCGCCGCCACCCCGACTTTAAATAGATTCCAAATCTTAAATGAGGAAGAAAAAAGGGAGGTGGGGCAGGCAAAGCTGTCGGAAAATGAGGGCAAGGATAAGAACGATGTTTCGAAAGCTTCCAAAAGGGAACGGAAGCGAAAGAAGAAGAAGAAGCAGGCTCCTGAACCTACTGATTGTGAGATGGAAGTGGTCGAGACTGCGGATGATATTGCTGAAATCGATCAACCCAGGTGTGGTCTAGGATTCAGCCGCAGCTTGACAACGAACAGCTCCACCGAGAGCGATCCAAAACACGAAGGAGGCTTCGTGTTCGGCAAGAAAGACGATTACATAAAGAAACTCGGCTTCGTGAAGGCGACCGAGGCCAACGAGGGGTTCCAGTTTGGCAAGCCCGTCCTAACGAATCAACTACCTGTTCTCGAAACGGGAGTTTTCCAATTCGGGGTGGATAAGAGCAGCGCAAACAAGCAAAGTTCCACCGAGGAGTTCTCATTCGGTAATGTTCGCACTGAGAGGCTGAAATCTTCGGAGGATCTCCGACAGAAATTCGAAGACGCTTCGCTACAAGAAGCGACCAGTGAACCCACGGAGAATCATTCAGACTCAAAAGCTGTTAATGGAACGGATCAGTTCAAAATCCTCGCGGCTCTAGAGGCGGCTAGAAGTGCCCTGAGGAAAGTCAGGCCCCCACTGGCCCAATCTCGAGTCGAGTTCTTCATGCTCCAAGTCAACTTAGTCACGCAGGGTGAAATAAAGGTCTCCAGCGATGCCGCCGGCCAAACGACACTGACGTACCAAGGGGCTCTCGTTGCCAGCGGTCCGAGCGAACCCGCGGCCTACGAGGATTTCCGGGGGAAAATCCTGAGTTCTGAGCCCTGGCAGGTTTCGTCGCGAGGACCACATCTCATCCTCGAATCTGGGGTCCCGGAAGTGTCGCCGACTCCAGCGAAACGAAAGCCCAGGGCCAAGGCGTTTTTCGATGGAGCTGCATCCTCTGGAAGGACATCCTTTCCGGGGGATGGGTTTAAAAATCCCGCGCTTCCGTCAACGGGAGATTCTTTGGGTAGCCCCGCGAATCTGTCCACTGGAGAGAAGTCTCTATCAGCCGAAATTCCTGCGAATACCACATCCAACGCCAACTCCAAAAACGCACAGAGCAGACCGCTGACCAGAGTCGCGCAATCGGAGATTCTACGCAATCTGGACACGGTCCGCAAACTTTTCTGGAACTCGAATTTCATGACAAAAATCGATATGCTCGGCGGTTTTGAAAAGGATCCATTCGTGGCTCTCAACATGGCATTCCAGATGGCGGTTCTAAAACCTGTCCGGGAAGCTGAAGTCGCGACGTCATCATGTAAATTTCATATCTCATCTTCCGGGGATCAGAAGAGTTGTATCTTAAGAGTTCACGGCGTCGTCGTGACGGAAACCTCCGCGAAATCGAGAGGGGACGCGAGGAAGTTGGCCGCGCTGCATTTTCTGAATCTCTTGCGCTCGAGGGCACAGTTAAGAATCGCTTTCGAGAACGGGGAGCACCGATTGCTCAGTCACGGAAATCCGGGGCCGGATCTCAATCCAAAACTACAAAGGAACGTTCAAGCACGAAGCAACACCCTGATGTCGTCGAAGCCTTGCGGATTGGAGGGTTTGTTCCTGGTGAAGTCTGCGCAATGTAATTCGGATCTGCGCGCCATCCTCGACAGATCGTCCCACGCTAACGATATCCCACCCCCGGTTTTCACTCATACCCTCGAAGGGAAGGAAGAAGTGTGCCGTCTGAGCCTGTGCGGAGGCAAACTGGAGTTCGAAGGCCGAGGGGACACGAAAGCCGGGTCCAGGGACAGGGCTATGCATACGGCGCTGAAGACCTTGATCGCGAGTTGTCCAACGATCCTCGTGGGTTCCATGGCGGCCGACACAAATGAGTTCTCGAGGGAGACGATGCCGTTGGGGACCAACACTAAAAGTGTGGCTGACGGCCTCAATCGGAGGCTCACCCAGGACAATGTGGGCTTCCAACTTCTGGAAAGGATGGGCTGGAGTGGAGGGAGTTTAGGCGGCGGGGGAGGACTGATAGAGCCCATCATGCTCCAAGACCACTCCGGGAACCGTGGTTTGGGTTATTCCAAAGCAGAGGGACCCGGGAAGCGCTTCAGAGCTAATATATATGCGAGACTGCGGGAATTCCTGAGAGAAACCGATGTCTTTCAAGAACTGAAATTCAGTCCAACGTTCAGTAATGACGAACGCAAGCAGATTCATACAATCGCCCGAGAGTTAGGTGCGTAGGCTTCGGTATTTCAATCGGTCGGCAATCGCTATCGGTCTCCGCTCGTTCCACCGTATGATAATTATTCCGGCTTCGTTTCAGGGCTCAGGAGCAAAAGCACCGATCGACCCGAGGGTCGTGTACTCTGCGTCTCTCACAACATTGATTGGAGAAAGATTTTTGAAAGTCTGATGCAGCGGGGCGGCAAAATCGGGAAATTCCAACTCCTTCCACCCGGATCGTGGTCTGTCCCGGATCCGTCGAGGAATTCTCAGTGATGTTATATATTGCATTCAGTATAAAGAATCACTGTGTTAGCTGTGTGTTCTCGACGGGAATCTTTGGAGATCCGGACTCGCTTGGGGATCGGGGCTATTCGTGGCACGTTTTCCTTCATCTCCGGGGTCAGGTCGAGGAAGGGTAGGGGCGGGAAGCACAGAGTGGGGTTCGAGTTTATTAACTTCTTCCGATTGCCTTAGGGAGTGCAGGCAATGCTTTCAGAAACAGCTGAGAGCCCTGAAGCCCTCAGCTGCCCTCTTCCTCATCTCAGATTTTCGATGAGTCCCAAGCTCTGCAGTTTGAAGCATCGACCGTCGTTTACTGAATCGACGTCTCTGCCCGCGACGACGTCGCCTGAGCACTGAGTGAGCGCTGTGGCCCGGGAGAGACCACTCGGATCCGGCGGACGCTCATGAATATTTCTCGATATCCTCATTCTCTCGATGAGATTAGTCATCGCTCCACCGATCGTTCTGATTACAGACCATCGCCTCCATTTCTCGCAATTTCTTATGGTTCGGCTATGTCCACGTACATGGCTGCCGCGCACCATTCTGGCAGATCCAAATTTCGCGCGCCTCTTCCTCCCTCCTCTCTGATATCTGCGGCTGTCTGCAATGTTTTGGGAACGAATTGTTTAGATGTGATGTCCTTACTGCCGTAGTCAACAGCACCACGGAGCTCTCCTCTCATCGGCACAGAGCGACGGACGATCGGTGCGTTCATAGAAGGGTAGCGGATGTTTCCCTTTTTGACCGACGTCGATTAGGAAATTTATTGATTCCTCTGCACCATTCGGTGCTTGTACGGCTCAGGTTAGACTCTTCTCGATCGTGTCGTACCTTATCAACTTTGTGGAAGTCAGAAGAAAGGGCAACACTCTTTGACCGAAGGAGCGGGCTCGATGCCGCGCCGCCTCGACCGATTCTGAACACGTTGACACCCATATTCAAATTCGCTCTCCACGCATCGCCGCTCCAGTCTCGTCGTCAGTGACTACAATTCCTAGCTTCGTAGGTAACAACCCCTTGCTCTCCGATTCTCCCCCCACTCCGACTCGCGAATGGTGCCAAGTCACGATGGATGTGTCCGGAAATTTCAGACTCTCATTCAAAGAGTCTTTCCGGGCTTTCTTAGGAACAAACGATCGCGAATCTCGAGAGAAGAGTTCAACGGCTTGAACTTGTGACTCCTTCCGGATCTAGCGATCGCTTGTGCCTGGTCGGTTCCGCGAATGTTCGTTCGGTCGATGATGTTTTATTGGAAGTGAACTTATCACAGCTCATTGATCTTTACCGAAAATCGGAGAATTCTTCGGAATCATTTTGAATACAGGAATGTCTCGACCATGTTCCTCGAAACTCGCACCGCTCTCATTGCTCAAACGCTGAGACTCGTGATTCGTGATCGTCTTGCGGAGCGTTGCTGAGAGTATCTTCAGAAACAGCTGATTGTCGATGTACATCGCAATGATAAGCATTCCTCTCGATTGATGGATGTTGGGGGGGGGATCCGGATTCTGTCGGCGCTGGATATCACACAATACGACCCGGTCTCCGTAGGGCATCATTCTCCCACGAGAAACTCGCTCAACTTCCGGCACCAACCCTATTCTCCGCTTTCAGTGTCGGTTCGAGTGACAAGTCGCCGAGATTCGGAATTCGCTGAGAGTTGATGGTGCGGGAAGGACCTCATAGGAATTTGCTCCATTACAGAGCATGCAATAATGGATCAGCGGAGAAGGTTTACGCCAGGTAGCTCTGGCCGTCCCCATCAGAATGTGAGTTTCCAATCTTGTGAGCGTGATCTTCGTCGAGGTAGTCTCTGTCAATGTGGGGATTCAGATAATGAGCATCCTCAGGAAAATGAATGATTTCCAGGATACGCGGCCCCAGGACGCTCCGGACAACATGTACAACCCGGGCGGACCATCCAGAATTCTGGGTCGGCCGAGCGGATCGGGGAACTTCCGGAACGGAGATCGCTCGCAAGCGCCAACGGATCCCCGCCCGCATGTCGACGGGACCGTCAAGGAGAAGAAGGCACAGCTCGTGGAGAACCGTATTTTCTCCCTGGATCGACCTTCACCGATGTTCCCGAACGCTAAATGGTTCTGTCGGTTGTGCCATCAGCATTTCAACCAGATGGTCTCCGCTGTGGAGCATTGCTCCATGAAGATCCATGCACGAAAAAAAGCCGCTTTGGATTTGCGGAAAGTGGTGTTCGCGATGCCGAGGGCGGTTGGAGATAATCACAAGCTCGCGCTGGAAGAAGAACTGATGAATGTTTACAACTCCCAGAGGATGACGGAGGCGAACCTCGAGGTTCGCGAGGCAATTCTGGAAGAGATCTCGAATTACCTACGGGAGAATCTGACCGAGTCGAATTTGAAGGTCGACGAGAAATACCTCGAGTTCAAGCTGCTACTACTAGGAAGCTCCCTCAGTAAACTCGGACTGTCGACCTCCGACATCAACATGGACTTCCACCTCTGCAATAGTGGGCCCCCAAACATCCAGGCGAAAATTTATTTCGAAGTGCTGAAGATCCTAGAAGAATGGTCTGCTCTGATAGATTTCGACGCTCAGCTGAACGCGGCCATACCGATGGTGAAGGCTTTCCACAGATCATCGAATTTCGCGGTGGAAATTGTTTTCGGCGGAGTTGCTTCGCTGAAAACGAACCGCCTCCTACAAGACTACGGCTCGCTCGACGAGAGAGTGGCGCCTCTGGCCGTGAATTTCCGCTATTGGGCGAAACAGTGTTCTCTCGACGATTCTCACATAGGTTTTCTACCCGCACACTCTTTCGCGATCATGACCGTCTACTATTTGCAACAGATATCCCCCCCAGTTTTACCGTGTATTCACGACTCTATGAAAGACACAGAAGATGACGATTACAAGAAACCCGAACAGCAGAACGACTGGAAATCCGAGAACAACATGAGCATCGCTGAATTGTGGCTTGGCATGTTGCGTTTCTACGCGGCGGAATTTCCCGTGAGAAAGTTGTGCATCTCGATCCGGAGCCGGAAGAAGACAACTCTAGCTACACGCCAATGGCCTTCGAGATTCATCGGAATCGAGGATCCGTACAGCAAGAAGAAATCCCTAGCCAAATGCATAGTGAGCGAGCAAGTGATGCCTTACCTGTTGATGTGTCTCCGCGCCTCGTACATATATTTCGCGTGAGTACTACCTTTGTTCCATTCCGAGTTCCCCCACGTCGTCGTTCGCTCCCTCTCTATGCAGGTTGGCTGACAACCATTCTCCCGTTTTCGCAGTGTGCCGCGCACCGGCGAAAGACCTCTCTTCGATCTTTCGTCTCATCTGAATCTCAACGAGATCGAGGACCCTGAAGGAGACGACATCGAAGACGGGCTCGCCGCGGATGAGGAGGTACCGGAAGCAGAAGACGATCAGGACCAGGTCGACGAGGATCAGGAGGCGGCCCCTGAAGCCGAGTCGGCCGACGTCGAGGAGCTCAAGGACCTCCGAGGTTGGAATCAAAGCTGGCCGCCCGCGGTGCAGACTCAAATTAGTGAATGCGAAAATTTAAAGTTCTCAATGGAAAACGTCGAAGCACTGACAGGGAAAACGGTTCGTTTCCTCCGGGACATTTCTCGTTTCGCATATTCGATTTTTTTTTCCCATCAGCGATGCATATCGATGCAGACCGTAAGCCGCGAGTGTTCCTTTCAGAGTGCTCCGGTCGTGTGCATTCTGTGCCGGCAAGCCGGTCATCGCTCCAACAACTGTCCGGAAGCCAAGTTACCGGAAGCCGTGCCCGTCGACGGTTCGGCTTTCGCCGATGCGTTCGGACATCACGCCGAGCTGTGTCAGTATATCTTCGAGAACTTCCGACCGACGATCTCGGAACGCGAACTGAGCGCTCGGGTCGAAATCGTCCAGAACATAGAGAGCTTCATACAGAAAACGATGCCCGAAGCGTACCTGACGCTTTTCGGCTCATCGAGGAATGGTTTCTCGCTAGAGAAGGCGGATCTGGATATTTGTCTCAAGTACAAAAACAAAGAAGATATCGACCCGAGCATGGATGTCAAAGACATCATCAAGAGAATCAGCAAAATTCTCGAGAAGCATCCAGACATCAGCGACGTTCAGGCCATTGCGTCGGCGAAAGTCCCGATCGTGAAATTCCACCACGACCCCTTCGGCGTCGACGGAGACATATCACTGTACAATGTTTTGGCCGTACACAACACTGCCATGTTGAAAGCGTACAGCATGATCGACGAGCGTGTCGTGCGTCTCGGTGCTGCCTTCAAACAATACGTGAAACTCTGCCATATGGGCGACGCGTCGAGGGGCAGCCTGAGCAGCTACGCGTATATTGTGATGCTCATCCACTACCTGCAGGTGGAGAATGTGGTCCCGGTACTGCAGTCGATACCGCCGATCGGCCATCCGGCGGGAGAAGAGCTGCCCAAGGTCATGATCGCCGGCTGGAACGCTTTTTATTTCAAGGACATCGAGAAGCTCAGCGAGGTCTGGCCTGAGTATGGAAGCAACCGAAAAACCGTCGGTCAGCTTTGGCTTGGTCTTATCGATTACTATGCGACGAAATTCCGCTTCGATCACTTCGTCGTGAGCATCAGGCAACTAGAGCCGCTCACTCGACTTGAGAAAATGTGGACGAACAAACCATTGTGCATCGAGGACCCATTCGAGCTCGATCATAATTTGGGGACCGGAATCTCAGCAAAAAGTGAGTGCGCGACAAAAGCCTCCGATATATTTCTCCCTATCCAGGGTCCAGAGGAGCTCCCCGGTGATCGGAGCTCTACCTGAATTCCCATCGCTACATATGCGACCAAATCGACGGAGAGTGACTCTGACCTTGATTTCAGTGGCGAGATACATTTTCTCCGCGCTGATAACCTCGAGGAACTGGTTTTTGCGGAGTCCGGAGAAGGTGTTTTCCAATTCGGCGGCGACGTACAAACATTTCATGGATGTCCGGGAGTTAGCAGTCGGCAAACCACCCAAAGATCGGGGATGCAAAAGATGCGGGAAGATTGGTCATTGGATGAAAGCGTGCCCACTGAAGCACGGCGAAGCACCAGGTGAGCTCGAACGGAGTGGAGATGTCCAGTTCTCGGAATCGGACTCGAAGGTTATCTAGGAGGATCATTCGACTCTGGAAAAACTTCAAGGATCTATGCAAGCTAACTCATACGATGCTCTTTATTTCGAAACAGATAGAAGATCGAATCGACGCGTTTGTCATTCTTGCGGGCAACCCGGTCATATCGTCAAGGAGTGCCCGACGAGGCTCAAACAAATCAGAAGTCAGAGAGAACGCCCCATGCAGCATCATCAACAGCAGCCTCTCATGCAGGACAATCGGTTCCACAGCCAAGCATTCCCGAAGCCCAATCATCCTCATATCGCTCCGGACGACATGAATAATTTAGCTGGGAACAGTCGCGCGCCTAGAGTGGACGGAGGTCTTGCCCTCGCACCTGAAGAGAAAACAGTAAGTGAGGAATTAGGAAATGATAGGAAGAAAAAAACAAAAAGCCCTCCAAGAAAAGCTTAGCTCAGAAACAGCTTCGACCGGGGCCGTCCACCGCGACGCCAGAGAAGCGCGGTGCTGAGGAGACTGGTCCGCGGGAGACACCTGAAGGCGGAGCATCCGAGCCGCAGCTCGAGGAGCTCGAACAGCCAGGGGGAAATCAAACAGGCACAAAACGACGAAAGCTCAGGCGCCTGCAGCAAGATGTTCAGCAGGAGGAACAAGAGCCGTCGACGTCTCAGCAGAAGACGAAACGGCGGAGGAACAAGCGGAAACAGAATCAAGCGGACGCATCGGCGGATCAAAAAAAAACTTCGCCGGTGGTGGAAGCGGAGTCTGGGCCCGAGAAGAAGACGCCACCGGGAAAGACGGAGCAGAGAATGTCCGGTCCTCGAGAGACTCGAATGAACCTGACGCCGGGACCCTCAGGATCAGTCGCGCGTAAGGCCCCCTCACGTAGCGATAGAACCGCAAGGCGTGGATCCACGATCCCACAGGGATCGGATGGGGAAACGAAACCCTTCACGTTCCAATTCACTATCCCGGAGGAGGTGAGAGAAGGTGCGAATTCCGCCGAGAATTCTTTCGCTGCACGAGACGGCGGGGAAGTTCCAGACGGTAATGCGTCGAAAACTGAGCCTCCGAATGCGGGACAGAGTAAAAAGTCGAAAAAGACTCGCCTCTCCCGTAGAAAACGCCGAGCTGGAGAGACCCAAGGCTCTACCCCAGGTCCTCTGGAGACCACAGCCCAGAGCTCGAGTGAGAGCGCACATTTCGCCTTAGCCGAGGGGCAGGTTGCGATTCCGGGCAAACCGCCTGCGACTGTAGCTGAAGAGGCGCTCTCTTCCCGGACGAGTGATCCCGTAGAGGTTTCCGAAGACGCGAAACCAGTATTGCGAGAACCAACGGCCGAACCAGCATCTCAGTGTCAAGTTCAAGAAGCAACTGCTCAGGAGGATCGCGATGAAGCAGGGGACCCTCCGCGAGTTCTCAGAAACGCCACGAATCTCGACACAGTCGATTCGATTGGTGTCGACGTGTCCGATGGGCCCGGGCGGAAAGACGACGGACCCGGAAGCAACAGAACAGAATCGGAGGTCACGGAGGAGCCACAAGAGCAGGGCACTGGGGGCTCCGAGGGGCATGAGAGGGAATGCTCGCGATCGCCCTCCGTCACCGAAACGGGAGTTCCCGGACGCATGCCTGGGCCTGGGAAAGATGCTCGGAAAGCGGAAGTGGAATCGGAGGCGGAGCAAACCAGAAAGAGTCCTCAGAAATCTCGCCGAGCGCAGCATTCCACGGAAGCTCCCGCGACGTCCGACGACAATCGTCTCGGGACACACTCCCGAACAGACAGAGCGAAATCCAAGGTCGAAACGGTCGCAGAGGTGGAGTCCAGCCAGGCGGCTCGGGGTGCCGATGCCAAGGAAGATGATGGAGCACAGGCCGAAGAGCTCGAGCGTCCAAATGACGGAGAAGAAGCTCAAGCCGATTGTGATAATGTCACCGTCCGGCGATCGCGAAAAGCGATGAAAAGAGCCAAGAACAAAGCTTCGAAGAGATCGCAGAAGAAACGTGAGCTACTTGCCGCTTCGAGTCTCAGCGATAAGAAGGAGGGGCAAGACGAAGGAGGTTCTGACTCGCCTCCTTCGGAACCGGTTCCCAATTCAGCCGCCGAGCTCGCTCTTTCTGAGGCAACCCAGAATTCGGGAATTTCGGAGGCACAGGCATCCGAAGGGTCATCAGCACCAATGGCTGAAGGAAGTGGCGAGCAGAGGCCTCAGGGGAAGAAAAAGCGTAAATCGAAGAAAAAAAGTGTGACAGGGTAGTGGAGAGAAGTGACAGAGAGTCTCACTTTCACCCGGTACCGGCGCGTTTGTGATTGAGCGTATCGCCAAGTTCAGGATTCCGTGAAGGATCGACGAACTTTTTGTCAATTTTCACGGGGGAAGTGGAGGAATTCAGTTTTCGTATTATTTGCTTTATCGAGACCAAGCCTTGTGAGATTTTTTTTGTTTATCCTCTGTACATAATCTGAACGGCAATATCAATGAAACCAGATGGATCGGTTGATCAGAGTTATTATTCAGTTGCTCATGTGCATCGTTCAATGTCTTCTCCGATCGATAGTGAGTCGATTAGTCATCCACAAGAATTTTGTGTACTTTATTTCTCCAAAATAAAGCGTGGCTTCAATTGAGGTGAGGTTTACTTGTCAGAAATAGGCTTCCCACAGTTCCGCTTCCCTCGAAACGGCCCCCACCTCAGGCATTCAATTATCCTAGCCTTAGGTTTCATTCTGCTCCTCTCAGGGCCTTGACAATCTGAGTCTGCTGAGTGTTTCCCTACTCTGCTCTATAGTCCTTTGTGATTCCCTTGGAGTCCTTCATCAGAACTTCATCGCGAAAACTCCATTCGGTCCCGATTGTGGCATGAGATTCCGTCGTATCTATCCTCTCACGGACTATTTTCCGGAACTCCTAGGAAACTTCTAAACTTTACAGGATTCACCCGATGAGGCTATGCTGCGCATCATGGCTCATCTCGAGAGATCATTCAGGTCGTAAGTACTATTTCGACAGATTCCACCGTGGGCTTCGCACAAAGTGACAACGCGGTAGAAAGCATTGAGGATGAGATATCCTATTTATCAAAATTGACTCCTAACGAGTTTCGATTGTTCCGATCTTCTCGCGAAATATTCCTTCGAACGAATCAACAAATTTCCTAGACCACTCTTGAGAGGGCCCAGTGCCCTCTCAATCCAGTACACGCTTGTCACGTATTTCGGTGGGTGATCGGGGATTTCCTCGACTGCGTTTCGCCATCCATTTATCCTGTACGGACACTTCTTTTGCAGTTTTTCCGGCCAGCAGCCGCAGCAACTCTCTCCGACCCACCTTCAGTTCCAACAACAGCAATTCCAGCTGCAGCAGCAACAACAACACCTGCATCAACAGCAGCAATATAATTTCTCTCACCCAATGCATCAACACCCGCTGCACCTGCAGCAATCAACACAAATGCAACAACCGATACAGGCTCAAATGCACCAGCCGTCGCCGGGACAGATTCAGCAACCGCTGCAGTCACCGCATCCCATGGCTGAGAACTTCAACCACGGTGGTCCCTCCCCGTGGCAGAATGTGCAACGTCCACACGGTTTCCCGGCTCCGGAGATGACCTCATCGACCTCGCCACCGATCGAGTACGAGAACCGAATCGGACCCCACCAGATCCCACCCGGTTTCCTGGGTCGTCAACAACAGCCCGCGATGCCGTTCCCATCGATGTCGTCAATGTTCGGGGTTCCGCAGCCAAGCCAAAGTCGTGTCTCGTATTTGTCAGACTGTAAGCATCTCCCGTCCTCACCGGACGGAACAAACGTTCATCATCGCCCATCGTGTATATATTCACCGAAAACGGTCGAAAATTTTCCCTCCATCCCCGATAACGATGACTTGTTGAACTCTTTTCAGTGGAGCAGTCCTGGGAAAACCAGATGGCTTCGAACAACGATCACGGTTTCAACCGACTTCCTCCTCAACGAGCTCCGCCTCCAGGATACGGAAATTTGATGCCTATGAACGATTTCCACCAAGAAAAACTTCCGTCCGCAACTCCTCCCTATCAGATGCCGAATCAAGCTACAATGGAGTCGGCTTCGCGTTCCCAGATGACTTGGGGTCCGCCCGAAAACAACTTCGTGAATCATTAAAGCCTCCAGTAGTCTGCATAGGTCTCAGCCTCGACGACAAGCTCGACTAAGTCTGCGTCTGATATGATCGTGTTTTTTCCTTGTATACTCGAAGGAATGAGAGAGCGTGCTTTATTGTTTGTATATATCAGCGCATCCGTTTCATGTGTAGAATCATCCGACTCGCTGCTGAGAGCTGAAAACAGCAATTTTCGCCTCGTGTAACTTACCTTATTCATTCAAAAGCTCTCGGGAGTCCCGCATGACGCGGAACGACCGGAGGAGACGTTTTTTTGTAAATTTTCTATGAGACTGTGAAAACACACCTGACCGTCCCGGTGTCGCTGTGTTTCGCTGGCGAAAAGCAAAACCTTAAATGCGGAAAGTTTTCGGCCATCACGGGGCGAGCGATCCTAGAGCGAAATGACGCGGAACAATGTTCTCACTGACTCCGAATTGACTCGATGCTCTGTAAACCTTCGGTACCACAATCTTCTGATGTGTGGAACCTTTGTGATTTGTTGAAGGCTACACATCTTTCAATTGTACGGTGAGAATAAATTCTCAAGCATCGAAATAAGAAAACCGGCGTCGGATCAAAGACTATCTTTCAATCCAACCTTCTCCATGCATGAAATATAAAAAAAGATCTCTTGTCCTCCGGAAACTCAGTAGATCGGAGTGTGGATCAATTGACGAGCTTTGCTGAGAATATCTGTTTCAGGATCTGAGGCAGTTCCTTCGTATCCATGCAGACGAATCCGTGTCCCGGCGGCAGGCTCTTCTTCAGACTGCAAGGTTTTAAGAGGAAATCAAAATCGAAACTACGGAAGTCCATATCTAGGTCATCTTTTCGGTATTCCGCCCCTCCTCTACGGCGGGGATTCCGGAGATATTCCTCGAACCGATTGGGCAAATATCGGGAATCGATTTGGCTCATTGGATCAACTCACTACTGCGCTTGTGCTCCCAGAGATCCTATCAGAACCGTATATGCTTGCACTTCGGGCTGTCGAGAGGTCATTTCTCTTGCAAGCGCTCGTCCCGATATTCCGTAACGCTCGAGATTAGCGTCACTGAGTAGTATGACGCAGTTCTCGTCGTAATCCTCGCAGTTCTTCAGACCTTCGACCGCCTCCTTCATCGCCTGGAAGCATGGGGACACTCACCAAATCGACTCGAATGGTCGGGACTGATCGTGTCCCTCGAACACCCAAAAGAGTCTTGATGTTCTAATCGCGAGAATTTTCGATGAGGGGCCGATGGAATCCCAGACTCACCTGTAGTGTGGAATCCCCCGACATACAATATTGAGCATGAGCATACATCCTCTGTAAGATTCGGAAGCGTTCCTTTTCGTCCTCAGGAGGCTCGCCCAGCTTAACCAACGGCAGGCTACTCTCTTCGCCGCTGTGTCCTCTGATTTCATACTGTTGCGGATAGGGAATAAAGGAGACGATTTAGGGGGAGTTATACGGCATCGGGGCCCGCATCTAGTATGGACTGAGTATGGAGGACGGATTTGGAACCCACGTGGATTTTGTGCTTGAAACCATGCAGGGCGTCCATCATCATGATGACGGCCTCCATCTCCCGCTCCAGTCGCGCGTCGTATCCGTTGAATCGATACATCGAGCCGCTCACATCGACAAGGAGAACCAGACGCTTCGGTTTCTCTTGGCGACCTCTGTTCTTGTGTTCAGGTACCATTCTTCGCTTGAAGATGTTCTTCTCGCCTGCTGCGGCTTCGACGAGCTTCGTTTCGTCCACGTCCCCTTCAGCCCGGTGTCGGACCCACTCTCGTTCCTGCTTGTTCCCTTCGAGACCTTCGAGGACAACTCGGAGCGCTTGGACAGAATTCTTCACCGAGTCGAGATAGGATCTGAAACATTCCGAAATACTCTCGCGTGAGGAACGAGGACTCAGCTGATTCCCGGCTTCTCGGATTTTCTGCTTTGGGGAGAACACCCCAGGTCTCGAGTTTTGGGTAGTGTGGGAAGGAGAGGAAATTCTCCGCTCTGAGTTTGCCTTCAATTTACCTGTAGGTATTATGCTCCGAGTCGCTCATCTGAATTTCTTTCAGTCGCCTCGCGAGAGCTTCCTTCGCCATTTTCCTTGCCCGCTCGGCGATGTGAGGAGGAACCGCTCTCTTAACCTCATCCGAAACCTGGTATTTCCGAAGTCGTTTTTTTTGGAGCTTTTATCGATGGAAATCGCGCCACGAGACGCTCAACTTCACCGTACGTTCGTACCTGATGAACGTCGAAGCCCTTGTCGAGCCGGTAAGGACCGCCGACACCGCCGAGACCCGCGGTGTCGGAACCCCCGGTCCCTCCGGCCCATGTGTTACCCCCGTGGTGTTCTTTGTCGTCAGTCTTGCCGTGTTTCGGACCCGATGGTTGGAATCGGGGGTCTGATCCCAAAGTCTTCTGCCATTCCCGCAGCTCTTCGATAAGTTTCGCAGTTCCTAGCAGGGGGTGATTCGCGTAAGAACGGAACGAATTTCGGAAAGAAGTCAATCGAAAAACTCGTGATCTCAAGGGGACGTAATCTTCTTACCCAAAGTAAATACATTCAAGTTCCACCCGGATTTCGCCCGTTCCAGAGAGAACAGTCTTCCCGGGACGGTATCACAGCTTCTCAAAAGAATATTTTTCTGCAATAGGGGCTGACGCGCCACTTTCATCTCATTAACGTTCACGTATTCGAGACAGTAAGGGTTCGAGTTCATCGTGGACGCGATGACCCCACCCTTGAGAGCCACCGAATCCTCGCAAACTTCGTAGGTAGCACGCGCGATGCCAGACAGCTCTGCTTTGTCTTCGGAGAACTTCACTCGACCTACATGGAATTATAATTGAGTAATTAGGGATGATAATATGGATTCTTCCTTGCGCCGAACATGTACACGGCATGATTCGCACCCAGATCGACGAACCTATTGTGTGCAGATCCGATACGAAAGTATTCCGATCTACGAAGCGAAGCCCGTCCTGAAGCTGCGCGTCGTTGCTCGAGCCATCCCTCAAGTTCACTAGGAGGCTCTTGTTGATCAGGATGTGATCCCCGAAGGGAACCGCTTGCGTTATTCCTTTGTCAAAATATATCTCTGTGAACCGATCGAGGGAGTGGTCCAAACTCAGAACACAGCATTTTTTCCTGAAAAATGCATCCGCTCCTCCAGCAATCATTCATGAAGGGAATTTGAACCCTCTCCCGTCGAAAATTCGATCGGCACGGAGCGACTTACGGGTTCGTTTTGATTAAAACAACATCGGAGTCTCTGTACAAGATTTCACCCGGCGGGATATTCGACAGGTTCATGACGTTCTGTTCCAGATTTGTCACGTAAAGATGGCCCGTATCCTGGAGCGAAATTCGTCGATAATGCTCGACCTGATGGTCATGTCGATGGGCGAGTGAGCAACTTGGAAGACACGTCAGCGACGATATGTACTCACTCTGTCCACAAGGCAGAAGTTGCCGGGCTTGCTCGTTTTCAGACCCAGTGCGGCGGCCCCTCTACACCTGAGTGGGAGCTCGCTAACCAGCCACGTCCGCGACGTCTCATCCAGAGCAGCGACGACCGGTTTGCCCTCGTAGGAAACGATGTGTGGTATTCCTCCTGAGAATCATTCGGTGGGTTGAGGGCACTTATTTCCTCTCGTGGGACAATCAAGAAAAGAAATCGAGTCTCAGAGAATCTCTACCTGAGATCACTAGGTCCTTCACGCGAGACAGCGGCACGGACCACTGTTGGCCCAACTCGGTGAATTTGTCGATTCTCGGGAAATTCGACGCGGAATTCACTCGGTAGCCCTCACGTAAAAACAGCTGGTCCTGGGAAGAGAATGTTGCGTTCGTCGAGAAAGCTTTGCAGCAGGAGCCGAAACTTCCTCCTGTCGGATGGCTCAGACGACTCAACTCACGATGAATTTGAATTGTTTCTCCTCTACTCCGACCTTCGACGTCGATTGCCAAGTCAGAGGGAAGGACGTCAGTTGAGACCACTTGCCCAAGTCTCTCGACTCGCCGAGGAACACGTCAGACGCATCGGCGTCGAAAGAGATCCCGTACGACCGAACAACATGGCCTGGCGAATGAAAGAAAACTCATTTGCTAAACGAAAGAACATTTATTTAACATGAAGATATACAGAGAGAGCCCGTCAGTTGGTCCAGTAAGACCGCACCACTATCATGCCGGGCCAAGACGATAATTTCTTCATAATATCGTGGTCTTGACAGGGTAACGGTGGACAACCTCACCGATTAGCCTTCGAGAATTGGGTTCATGGGAATCGAAATCCAGCACATTGTTCAACGCCTGGAGGATACCGTCGTCGGGGAAAGCTGCTAGATGTTTGGTCACGCTCACCAGCTCTCTCGTTGAGAACGGATATCCGATTTGCCCGCTGTCGTAGAGTTTCCGCAGATCTGTGGGAACCGAGAGATTGGGGGAACGTGAGAAAAAACATCCGCCTCCTACCCAATAGAATGCGAGGTTTCTTCAAACTGACTCCGATCGAGAAAATCTCACCAGCGAAGAGATCCACGAGCTGAGCGAGTGTTTCCTCGGGAAGATTTGGAGCGTAATTCGAGAGGAGTGTGCGTTCGGAGGCTGCATCGGGAGCGTCAATCGAATGTACAGACAAGGCGTCACCGACTAACGGGAAGAAGTCGTTGCCCATGAAGGGAAACCCGGGTCGGTTTGCCAAGAGTATTGCCTTAAAGGTGAGAGATAATGAGATTCTTGGGGACTCGACTCGCTTGTCTCTACTTATCGTCGTCCATCATTATTATCAAGCGGGCCCAGGTGGCCAGACCGTCCAAAAAATCAGATGTTGTCGTGCGCTGATTCGGGACTTTACCTGGAATTTGGGATGAATCGGAATTTCCAAGGGTCCGCATTCCTCTTTCCGTTTCCTGAGAACCCGGCGGCCGTCGGCCAGAAGCATTTCGCCCCTTGCAAGGAGCGAATGCAGAACACGCGTGACTTGTACAGGCGCTTTGTCGGCTTCATCGATGACCACGATGCGACCTTCGGTCAGCGCATTCATCAGGGGTGAGTTTTGATAGACGATGCTCCCGTCTGGAGAGAGACAAACCCCGGATTCTTCTTGATCGTAATCACTTATAATAATCACAGGGCACCTATTGCTTTTGTTTCCGCGCGTGTGATGGACGACTCACTGACGAGGTCCTCCATTGGTTTCGAAAGAATCGATAAATCTACCTGTACTCGGAGTTTGGACTCACCGATTAGCTGGGGTTGAACCGACAGAGAAGCTACCGTTGTATCTCTGTGCAACTGCATGTACTCTCGGGGCTGATTGCAAACACCCAATAGATAATCTATGATTTTATTTTTCCCGACTCCTTGATTGCCAACCAAGAGGAGATGCTCCCCCAGAACTAGATCTTGGGAAATGCGGTGCAGCTGCTCCAGTTGTCTCGCGTTCTCGAAGAAAAGTGTGCCTGCGACGGTTAAAGGTCTCGTATATGCCTCTACGTCCGTGATTTCTTTCCGCTCCATGACCAGCTGCCCTCTAATCGATTGTACCACCAAGCGGAAAGCCCGGGTCCCGTTCGGTGCGTCACTCACTTGGAATTTTGGCGGGGGATTCATTATCGAGGTTCCTTATTAGAACGACGTCGCCTATCGTGACCGTATCCCGCTCGATTTTCATTTCTATTTTATTCGAGCTTCCAGCTCCGTCCGCTTCCACGCCGCACTTCGCCAGCGTTTCATCGAAAGCGATGCGAGTCAGTTGGGGGGCGAATCTACGAATGAGGTCTCAATTTTGAGCGAATGAACGTCAAAGCAGGCTTGGTTAGCTCTAGGTGGGTGACGCGGTGATTCTCGAGCGCTGACCGTCCACTCACTTGATCAGGGTTGCTTCGGAAAGCAAGTCGTACAAATTCGAGTCCGGGTATGCATTGAGCTTTCGACACAGTCTCAGCAGCTGCCGGGTGCTGAGACTCTCGGCCAGAGAGCGCAGAGGGGCATCGGAAGACTTGCGGAACGCTGAGATGACATCGAAAAGTTCCTGAGGGGGACTCTTGCCAACTAGCTTGGAGAGAACCTCTCTTTGTTCCGCGACCGGCAAGGGAGGCAGATGGAGCGACATGAACATCGAACTGACTTCGGCTAGAAACCAAACAACAATCATTTCCTTCCCGGAACCAAATTGGACAAAAGAAATTGGAGATGGACACAGAGTTGACATTCGGACAGCCGGTATCTAACTCACGGGACAGCCAAGTCCGATCCGTGGAATCCTTCTTGGGAGGTTCAGCTAAAGCAATGATTTTGAAGTTTGGATGCACAGGTCTCATTCCGTCGGGTTTCCCAAGAGCTTCCCAACGGTCTTGACGTAGCAGGGTCGAGCTATCTGACAGCCATAGCTCCCTCTCGTGGATCAAACTGCGTGTAGAAGAGATGAATGATGTCTCTTCCCTAGGGTTGATTAGTCATGGCATGGTTCTGAATCTTGGCATACCTTTGCAGTGAACTCAGAACGGTCGGATCCAGAACGTCAACTCCGTCAAGGATCAGACAGTTGCCTTCCAGCGCAGCTTTCACGATCGGTGAGTCCCTGGAGTATGGATAGATGCCGATTTCGACCGGCGAACCAAGCGAGGTCATTCTCGAAGGGCACCTCATTCATAATACCTAATCATAGCAATGGGTTGAGTATTACCTCCAGACGGTGGTCCCCTCATCGAGTCGCCTACTTTGGAGTAATTCTCTCGCACTCATGTCTTTGTACAGGGGAATATGAACTATTGCAGAATCGTCGAATCCCAAATGCGCGGCAGCAAAATGCGCGAGCGTATTTTTCCCACAGCCGCGCGATCCGATTATGCAAACATCGCCTGCAGAACAATCGAATAATCCTGATGGGCTGTATCTTATCAGATCATCAGCCGTTAGTCTGTCTCTTATGCTAATTTTTATTCACTAATTAAGGGCGACTCACCGACTGAAAGCGCCTTGCAGAGCGTGCTCACGGCTCGTTCGAAAGTGGAAGTCAGGATCAGATTGGACTTTGAAGTCTTTTCGTCGTTCAGCGTGACTTTTCCGCTGGAGGGAGGATAGCTACTTGACTCCGCTCCCATGCCCTCCTTGGAGATGAGGTCAGCGAGAACTCTCTGTGCGTCTTCTGTCAAATGAAAGCTCGGATAGACGACATCCAGAGCCGCCCCGAAAGGCACGCCTTTCTCCTGGAAATGTGGGAATTCTGGGCGTGATCCAATGCTTCCCGTCACGTCGTGACGCGAGCCATAAGCAGTGGGATGGATTAAACTCGGGGAGTTCTCGTATAGTCACCCATAACTGTGCCATTTTCGAAGCGGAATCGAAGTTGAAAAACGGCAGCCCCAAATCCCTGACTTGTGGCGAGTTGATCGTGTACACTATATTCAAAAATTTCTCTAGATGATTCCCTCTTGTCGGCGCCAGCTCTCGAAGTTCCGATAGAGCATCGTCGTAATCAGGGAATTTCAATGACTTGCATTGGAAACGTGACCTGAAGGGTGGATCCAATGTATTTCCCTGGAAATTCCGGCGGGAACGCTCAAATCAGCTGAAAGGCGCTCTTCTAGATTCCTTCGGTCGAGTCAGATTTGGGGTTATTCTTCGTTACCTTGAATGGTGGAACTGGAGCGCCTAGGGCGATGACACGAAACTGCTCGTCAACTCTCCGCATGCCCCACTCCGCGAGTTTCTCCGGACCGACTTCTTGGAGGAGTTCATCGAATTTCTCGGCTTTCAATAAGAAACCTCCATCATCCAGATGCATCTCACGGTTCTCCAGGAGATTATTTATCAGCGGGAGGAGGTTCCGCTCCGCGCGCTCCACGCCATCCAGAACCAGAACGCGACCTTCTGTAGCGGCTCGGACGGCGGCCTGGGGAGAATAGTCGCAGGATGAAAATTCCGTCCCGGATGAACGCAAGCATAGTGGAATGCGGACTCCAGTGGCGGATCCAGGGGGCTCCGTGTTGAGGCCCAGTATCAGCGGCGGTTGGCCTCTACCAAGTCAATGGCTTTGCCAAAAGAAAAAACTCAGTATCTGCTCCTGGCGGACTCGATCACCGTGAATATTCCAGAACAGGCCCCTCTCTAAGAGTAGCCCGTCTCTAATAGAAGCCCCTCGGCGGGATTCTCGCGTCGAATAGAAGCCCGTCTCCAATGGAAGCGGGGGAAACGGGGAATCGGCTCAGATTCCCGAGAAGCTCTGTTCCAGAACATATGTATCTCGAGCTTCAGAAGTCACGAGAAATCCAGTTTTCCGAAGTCCCTTCTTCCTAATCACCGTCATTGCACAACCGCGCGTAGAATCAGGAGGAGGTCCCCCATGATACAAGCCCCTCGCCAATAGAAGCCCCTCTTCGAAGGGGTTAGAAATAATAGAAGCCCGGGCTCGTATCGGGATATTCACGGTATATGATTACCTGGTCTCGCCATCCGGCTTGGTTGCCACTCAGTTCCCGGTACTGCTTCAGATCGGAGTCCGTCGTGTCAGCGCTTAGCGCGACATATTCCACTTCCCGACCCGTGAATTCCAAGTACTTGAAAACAAGTCTCCTCCGTTCGGAGCCCGGCGGTGCCAATAAGAATACATCCTGTCCGAGATGATCTTTCTGGAGGAGCCATCGGAGTAAGCCCCAGGTTCGTGGCGTTTCATTCTCACTCACTGAAATTTAGAGATTTCTGGCATGCTCTTTCCGGACGCGACTAGCTCATGATGAGAAAAAAATTATTCCATTCTAATTTCCCATGATTTCTCACGGTCCCAACCCTACTCACAATATTTCACCGGAACCTTCTTGGGGTCGCGCGGCTCTGGCAGCTTCGCCGAAACATCACCCAATTTTATTGTGCGCCATCGATCCTTGCTTGATTTACTGCTCGCTTGGTTGTGCGCGCGTCTCAGAATGAAGCCGACCCCAAAAGGGAACCTCATACCTCAACCTGAGACAAAAGGCCTCCGGTTAGAACCAGTCCCCCCCTACCACCGATCTCGAGCGGATTCGAACCACGAACGTGACAGGTTGGAAGAGAAGGTCCGCGTTGCGTCCGCCCGAACTATCATGGGGAGATTCCATCGGAGCTCCCTCATCAAACCTTCCGAGGAGTTCTCCCGCTTTCCGGACAGTAGATACCTCCGATGAAAGTGAATGTATCCGCATATATCATACTCCCTCTAGCTAGGAAATATTCTTCGCGCGAGTTTGCAGAATGGATCTCCGGGGAGATTTCAGCGGCATCTCGAAGAATTATCCCTCCGAGCAGTCATCGTCAGTAGTCCGAATCTTCAGTATCGAGTGGAAGACAGAATAATTCGGAGTCTGGATATGTCTGTCAATCTCGAATCGCCGTGAAGGACGAGCTCCGAAAGGGGGGTCGACTGCTTCGGGGGAAGGCTCTCGGGCGGCATCTCCACTCACTCTCTCGACTCGAACGGTCAGATTGTCGTAAGCGATGTCGTGTCACGTCCGGAGTGTTCTGCATTCACGAGAGTTTCCGACGGCACGTTCGCGAAAGTCTGATGGAAGAACACGGAATGTGTCCACTTGTTTACAATCTGATTATCGCGCTCTCTCAAAGCTGCAGATGACGTCGGATGGACCCGCGCGCAAGTGGTCAGCGGTGAGGGACAGCCCGGTGAGATACCTGAGCGGGATCAGAAAATCGCCGTCCCTCCGAACGGTTTTTGCTGATCGGAAAAACATTTCATGACGACGAATATCCCTCTCTAGTGGGGCCATCCGACCTGGAGGTGATATCCTCTTGCGCGGATATGATGATGATGACAATGATCCGCACAGACAGCTCTTTGTCCTCATCGGGCGCTCCACTCTAATTTCCCGATATTCATGTCACATTTGAGCCGCCCACAGCAGGGGTTCTCTAACTCTATCTCGAAGCTGAGAAGTGTCGTCATCGGATGCTGGCATTAGTTAGGATGGTTCAGTTGGCCAGCTTCGATCCGTCGTGAACCCCTCGCGAAGGCTGTAATGTAAGACTCCGTAAACAAGCTAATGGACGTATGACTTATCAGGTACTTCGCTCTAAGGCCGAATTCCTCTTGAGGAACGAGTGTCGCGCCGATCTCCGGGGCGCATGGATCCGGGTAAGGGGGGCCACATCCGAAGACTCGGGACCCCGGATCCGTAGTGTATTCATAGCGAATATTTTATAGAACAATCCTGAACCGCCTTCGAGAGTCTGAAACTCAGAAAACGCGATTCCCGGATGCAGTGTCCACGCTCCCGAATGATTCCTCCTAGATCCGGAGCTAACATATGGAAATGAATGGAGCCGGTGTACGAGCTATAGTGTATACCCCATCGTATAATTCCGACTGCGTTCATAAACCACGTATCGACTTCCTCATTTGTCTATCGGAAATGGGCGACGCCGAACAAGCAACGCGGGTAGCCGCGCTGACAGGGAGTGCGGAAATCGGTGAGTGTCCTGTTCACCGGATCCTTCTGACGGGAATCGCTTGACTGACGCTGCTTGCCCGGAATACTGGGCCGAATAGAATGATCACAGTTGTTTGACTGAATTCCGGGCCCGGAGCCAGAATGCGACGAAACCTAGAGAGAGAATCCGGATGGGGAATCGCCTTCAATCAAGGGGGGACTTCCGTTGCTGCTGTGATTCCTAATGAGTCGGAAATATTATATATTATGACCCACGATGTTCATTAACTTCGCGGGATCATTTCCTGACGCTGAGCGACCAATTACGAGGCCAGGAACATTGATAATGAATCTGGGATTATCTAATCCGTTTAACCATCAATGTATGAGTGGAAAGAAAATTTTTGATCCAGACTGGATCGATCTTTCGAGTTGACCTTTCATCGAAGAGGCTCTGAATCGGAATATTTCCGAGTCGAATCGGATCGAACGACTTCTTCCGTTTTTGTTGAGAAAGAATTGCGCTAGCTGACGGGCTAGAAGCGACCCTGGAGAAGCAAAGACGGCAAGATTCGTCGATTCTTCCGGCGGTTCTTCCGCCTGAAGAGCAGTACAGATACTCCCTGCACAAGCGAACGAATGGATTTCTAATTCACCGTATCTGTGCTTCCGAATTCCCCAGTCATGCTCAACAATTCGTGAGATTCAATGACTGTGCTCTGAATTCATGAGTTTACATTCACTCTCCGCCCTTCTATTTATCCATTTCCCTCGATTTTTTCCAAATGCCCCATCAGACGATCGTTATACCCCCCTTACCGAGGATGATATGACAAATTATTTCGTTCACGATGTCTGCTTATGGTCGGTCTCCGACAATGGGCGTGGTTACACAAAGCGGGGAGTCGGAACATTGTCCTATCGGTTTCCATTCCGGGTCCTACTTTCCATGCTCGAGCATTCAGAGTTTTTTCTCAGTGGAAGATTAGATCAGCTTGACATCCCAAGTTGCTAGAAGAAGCTCTTGCAATGCTGATATAATCTCGAAGCCTCCCTTCCTTTGTGAAGATCAAATGCTAAAGATATATGGTGAAGTCCGTCCTACATGGACGACTCTTGTAAAACATTCTGAAGTGGAATCGAGGCTATAAGAGCATGAAAACAACATGGAGCGAGGGAGGGAGTACCCCTCCCGGTCAAGCATGAGGGTCGAGCTCAAGTATATTACGCATCGAAACATCATGACGATCTCTCTGAGGAATGCTAACGTTCTGATTCATCAAGCTGCCCAACTTGGAGCGTTTCAGACACCAGGTTTGGAATTGAATGAGCGGGCTGGGTGCAACGTCGGATTCTATCCGCATAGGAACAGGAATGCATGGAGTATTGGGCATATAGGAGCAATATTGATACTCTGAGCCCTCTCATCTCTGCGCCTCAGCCTTCTCCAACTTCCACGCGACTTTGAGAACGGTATCGCTCCAGGGAACGAATTCATGAGTACTTAATATTTCGATTCTCGATGCGGTCGCCCGTCATGGGTTTTTCACGACCAGAATCGTGTGAGCATGTGAGCACGTGAAGTCGGCTAATTCTCTCGAAGGCCCCCGATTAGGTCGCGGAGTTCAACGGACCACAGAAAAGAGAATGCTGCTCTGAGAATCCTGCACTCATTCCCATTTCAGGCTCACATCGGTTCGCGATTGGCTAAACCACTCCTGAATGCGCATCGAGCACTTCGACTACATGCGAGCAAAGAAGTCACGGCAGAGCTGAATTACTAAGGATGAAAACGCGACGGTGAAGCCGAATGCCAGAATTTCAATGGGAGCCTCGGAATTCGATCGGAAGGGCTGTTGAGGTACACGACCCATCCATTCGAGGAGTTCGGCCAGAGTCCTGCTCATTTTTCCTCCTCTCCCGCAGCATCCGTACTTATCTTGGATTACCCCCTGGTTGTGGCGAGCTTTGAGCCTCTGTTCAATCAGGATCGGGGCTCTTAGAAGATCGTGTCGCAACATTATCATGGCATACCCATTCCATACGGAGTTATCTATGAACGAGAGCAATATTTCACATTTGCTCGCTTTGACGTGAGGAGGGCATCTGATCGATTGCCTCCGGTCAGGATAGATAATCCATTCCCTCCCATATTTATCCAGCTGGATCTGATACATATTCCATAAGTCGAAGTAGCGTTGGAACTCTTCCATTTCTCGTTTCGATCCGCAATATATCATTTTCTTCTTCAGCTGTTCGGGTGTGTGGATGACCGCGAGCCACAGGATATTCACGGATCGAACTGAGCGCACTGAGTCGGTCATTGTGTTTTTGAACTGCGTGGAGATGCATTCGGGGAATCTCAGGATGCGCGAACCACTCGGCCTGCTTATGACGGATGTCATGTCGTCGACAAGGATGGAAGAGAAGAAGAGATTCCCCAAGATCCATAGGGACGCGGCTGACGGAATTCGACTTTTTAGGTGCCCCGAAAACTGAGCAGAACTCGAGAACGTACACAGGATGTCGAGGAATGTCAGAAAGGACGTATCACTCAACAGCCAAACGGATGTACCGAGCAAAATCATTATACTCAAGACATATCTGTTCGCGACGTGTCCTTGAATCCCGACGACGGGAACTTTCCGATCCAGAGAAAACGCGAGGACTGCGTTCTCCATGAACATGGGCAACTCAATCGTATTCAGCGGCGGAACATCCGTGTAAACGAAATTCAGGGACATGTTGAAGCATGGCGCGGAGTCGCTGATGAAACTAATCTTCATGACGCTGTTCGCTTCTTGCACGAAAACCGAGTTCTTGATGGTCTGTTCCTTCGAGAGTCTCACGGGACACGAGACCCTGTCGTTTGTGGCTAACCAGTCTGCGAGACACGAGCTCATAAACAGCGGTTTTCGTTCAGTCTCCAAATTCATTCGAAAGCCGAAGGGCATCTCGAGGAGGATCCTCTGAGAGCAGCTGCCGATTGAATCAGATGGCTTCCCAACTGAAGCATCCGCGAATATTATCTCTTTGAAATCGCTCGGGAATTCTTGCAAAGCTCTCGACATTATTGAAGCCGGTGGGAAGTTTTGCGTGATCACAACCAATAGATCATTCGCTTCAGGGCGCCGAAGGAGTGATGACTTGGTCCGCGGAGGGTCGACGAATGTTCGACGGTAGGTTATCACCGTTAGATCGAAGCAGAAAAAAGCAACCCGGTGCTTGTTTCGGACTCTGGCGCTAGAGACGAAACTATCGTCGGTTTTAGAGCTCATTATGTCCCTGGTCAAGTATTGATGCGGCGATTGTTCGTACCGCTGTCTGATGTCACAGCCGATGAGCTCGATGAGGATGCTTCGCGCACTCACAGTTTTCTCAACCTCTTGAATCACGAATGCGACGAGACTCGCTTCCTCTACCGATGCTTCGCGGGAGCGTTTCGGGGAGCTCCCCACATTCTCCAACTCGAGATCTGGGGCCTTCACGTTGTGTGAACTTAGTTTGATCTGGAAGATTATGAAGGCTGCCAAAC